ATTATTAGCCACGAATGTTTAGCTGTTGAAATAGGAAGTGATTATTAGCCCCTGTATATATAGTCCATATCTATGAATATACTTTAAGCTTATGTTCTAACATTAACATCAACACTCCCTCCCCAAAAAAGGTACTCTTACCAAGAGAATAAACAAATCTCAAAAACTAATTAATGTGAAAATGGAACTGTCTTTTTTGCAAAATTTCTTCAGGGCAGTTAGTTAAATAAATCTTTTCAACTCAATTTCTTTATGTAGTACTCTCAGAAAATAATTTGAAGCCATATACAAAATAAGTATAGTTAAAAAACTATTCTTGGGAATATAACAGCAAACATAAAGCACTTGAAACAGTGCCTCATGATCAGTAAATAAGAGCTCTTGGTGCTGTGAATAATAATTGTCCTCTCACAACTTTTCTTTTGAAATTGTCCATAGAGGCTGTATAAGAAAATCTCTTGTAAAGTAGTTACAGGGCACACAACTATGGTTGCATGCTTTCCCCTTTTTCTCTGCTTTACTTAGCATGATTCCTTTCCCCTCCATGAAAATAATCAGGGCTTTGTCTGGCTGAAAACTGTATTGAGGATGCAGGAGGGGCTCAGGAAATCAGGCTAGTACTGAAAACTACCTCATATATAGAAATAGATCAAATAACATATATCTATGTGCTTTTAGGTGAGTGCGTTTACATTTTACTAAACTGCAAATTGAAAGCATAAAAATGTTGGACAACCTGCCTATATGGACACTTAGAAGACTTTCAAGAAGAAAGTTCTCATTTCCAATTATGGAAATCAAGAGTATAACATCTCGTTTGGGTTATTAAAGTTCTTTCCCATTTATCAGAAATGTTTATGCTAATGGCTCTTCAAGAAACACTAAGTTGTATTTTACAACCACCAAAAAACATGTTTTTCAAAGTAATGATAATATTTCCTTGTAACCTAGTAAACAGTTGTAATTTTAAATATAATCACATTACAATTTTTTTCTTTACACTTAAAATATACTTACTTTTTTAAAATTATTTTAATAATTTTAGATTCCTCAGCAGGAAATGGGGTCCTCACTAAAGCTACAGTCCCTATTTATGCAACAGGAGTCCTTACGTGTTATATTCAGGTAAGGGGAAAATTCTTACTCTCTAGTAAAAGTCTTTACATTTAGAAAAATACTTTGTATTGTGTCTTCTTAATGTAAGTGACATTGCTACCAACAAAGGAAAACAATTTACTTATTTTATTCAATAAATAATTTATAATGGATAGCATATTTGAATAATAAGGGCCTGAGTAAAACCTCACTTGAACAAATAAATTTAGAGATTATGAGCTTTTTGATATTTTGTTAGAAGTGTTAGATTATACTGACTTAGCAGAGTTTTTCTGTGTTCCATAAGTTTTTCATAAATAAATGACAAGCAGAGCACATACGTTAGGTGAACTAAGCTACAGAGCACTGTAGAACACTATACCTTATCATCATTTTTAGCTAAGTACTTTTTAATAATGCGGGTTGAGTGTATCCCTTATCTCAAATGCTTAGGATGAAAGTGTTTTCAGATTTTGGATTTTTTTTTTTCAGATAAAGGAGTATTTGCATATACATAATGAGATATCTTGGGGATGGGACCCAAGTCTAAACACAAAATGTGTTTCATATATACATTATACACATAGCCTGAAGGTAATTTTATACAATATTTTAAATAATTTTGTGCATGAAACAGTTTGTGTACATTGAACCATGAGAAAGCAAAGGAATCGCTGTCTCAGCCACCATGTGGACAATCTGGTTGGTTGGCATCACCATCATTCCTGACTTTGCATTTATATGCTACCAATAAGCAATCATTTTCTTATACTTTTTCACACATATGTACTTAACAATAAGAAAATGTGACATATCATCAATACAGCAAAAAAAAAATAATGTGCTCAGGGTAGCAAAGCACAGAATACCTGTATCAGCTGCTAAAAAACAGCCACAGCAAATGATGACAGGCTTTCACACACAGTATCAGTTTGGTACTCACAAAGTTTCAAATTTTAGAGCATTCTGGATTTTCAGATTAGGGATGCTTAAGCTGTACTTTATTTTTCTTAATTGTTACTGCATAAGAAATTACCCCAAAACATAATGGTCTTTTATAACTGTTTCATTTGCTCATGATTCTGTAATCTGGGCCTCACTCAGCTTTGTCCTCTTCTGCTGTTCTTGCCGGCAGTCACTTCTGTTGCTGCAGTAAGTGGGTTAGCTGATGGGGTCTCTACGTAAGTCTCAGGACCTCTCTCTCTCCACATGGCTTCTGAAGCAGCAGAGCCAGACTTACCACATGGTAGCTAATGCCTCCCAAGAATGAAAAGGCAGAATCTGCTAGGCTAAGGCTTAGGCCTGGAATTAGCACAACATGGTTTCTACTGCAGTCCCTTGCTAAATAAGTCACAGGCCCAGCCCAGATTCAAGCAAAAGAAGGGAAGTAAGCCAGGGTGTGAACCAGGAGGTGTGGTTCAGTGGTGGCCACCATGTAACAGGCTGCCATACTCTACTTAACATTGTTTTCAGTAAATAACATATGATGTGTCTCAAAGCATAGTAGTAATTTTTAAGTATGAGGCAGTCCCACCAGTAAGGTGGAAATACTGACTCGGGATAAAGCACTTTTAGAAGTTAGAATGTACGAATGAAGAAAGAACAGCTTTTCCAATGGTTTCCTGAACTTTTACCCACTACTAACTTACTAATTTTGCTCTTTAAATTCAAAGTACAGCAATTCATATTTATTGTACTCTTCTTTCTTTTTTTTTAATTTTTATTATTGCATTTTAAGTTCTAGGGTACGTGTGCACAGTGTGCAAGTTTGTTACATCAGTATACATGTGCCATGTTGGTTTGCTGTACGTATTAACTCGTCATTTACATTAGGTATTTCTCCTAACGCTATTC